ATATATATATTTCTCTTTTAGATAGATCATGTACAAGTATGTTATGTACATATAATTATGTATATATTATGTATTATAGGTTTTTATTCTATAACAGATTTCTATAACAGAGTATCTTCTTAAAAGTAAATCACAGTATTCTTAAAAGTAAAGATATGATAAACTTGAGAATCACAAAAACGAGTACCTTCTTAAAATAAATCAGTATTTTTAAAAGTAAAAATATGCTAAACTTGAAAATCACAAACATAAATAAAATTTCTTCTTAAAAAGAAATCACAACATTTACTTAAAAATAGAAATATGATAAGCGCACACATAAGTATAAAAATGAGTATTCTAGCAAACACTAACTGAACACCGTTAAATGATGTTTACTACGTATCTTCTTAAAAGTATATCACAATCGTTAAACTACTATCGTAATACTACATAAACAAATTATAGACTTATGAAAGGAACAACATATTACATTTTAGTAATTAAATTGTTNTTAATGGTAAGATTGTAACAATCTCTACCATTATCACATATGTATTTTTTGGTATGTAAAATACTTGTCAAAGTTTCGGTATTTAATCGATTTCTTACTTTTGTCCTATTTAAATTTATAGTACTAAATATTCTTTCGACGCAAGCACTGCTATGTGGTAAGCATAATAAATCGAACACAAATTGCGTTAGTAAAGGAAAAGCAGGAGTATTATCTCCTCTTTTAAGATTACCTACTTCCGTCCAAAATTCTAACATTTCTTTGTTTTTATTTAAATTAGTATTACGAAGGAGCCTATACTCTCTATCTAATTCATTTAAATCAATGTTTAATAATAGTTTTTCAAAGTACATTGCTACAGACCCTATTGAAATAATCGAATCTATTTTTTTTGGATTTAAGAAAGCTAAATGTTTTAGAGCCTGTATATGTGGTGCATTGAATGGAAATCTTAAATATATTTGGTGAGCACTTTNGATATAGAAGTCCAAGCATCTTAGTTTTATATCATGTTTTTCTTTAGCAGTAATTATTACATTTGATCTATGAAATTGTCCATTTACTTTTGGTCCTAAATATAAATCTTCAAGTAAAACAAAGTTGNGTGGATTTCTGTATTGGATTTCACTTATATCTTTAGAGTCTAATACGTCTTTTTTTATGTAACATTCAAGAATTGTTTTGTACGCCGAAGATATATTGTCATACAATAAATGAATTTTAGGTGCTTCTGCTTGAAATTCCATATTCATATTAGTAAATATTGGCAAAATAAATTCTAAAAATTCTAAATAAAGCTTATTTGAAGGATCTTGAAGTTTCTTATAAATATTTTCAGATGCTTGTATTTTATCACTGAGATATTGAGATTGAAAATACAGTTTTAATGCATCATATTGCTCTAAGACTCTTTTAATTACCGATATTAAAGAAAGCCAACGAGTTTGAGCTGGCAATAGTAGTTTATGTGGTTTTGCATCTACAAACTGTTGGAATTCTCTAAATTCAGATGTTCTTTTAAAACTATATTTCATATACGAATGTACATCCCGTACAAAATCTTCAGGACCTCTAGGTAATTTCAAGCAAGCATATGATGCACATAAAGCTAATGAATGGCAGGTACATTTTAACACAAAAAGTCCAGGTATATCATTAGTTAACATAGTTTTTAAAGAATGATGCTCGCCCATCATTGCATTAGCTCCGTCAGCCCCAAAGCCTATCATATTTTTTTTAAATGGTATTTCAAACTTATCAAAAAAATTTATAATAATGCTATGTAATGATTCTGCAGAACCATCTGTAACAGGTAACAGAGTTACAAATGTATCATTTATTTTAAAATTTTCTGAAAATCTTGCAACTATTGCTAAATTTTNTATACAGCTATGATCAGTGCTTTCATCTACTATTAACGAAAATTTAAGAATTTTAAGTTTAGTAATGATTTCTTCAAAAGCTGTTTGACTTATTATATTTNTTACTATTGAAGTACATTTAGTTCTATTGCATTGTATATTTTTTATGACTTCGGGTTCGGAGCTAATACTTTTAATTAATTTGATTAAATGTTCAGCAGAATTAAATGCAATGTTATGTTCTACAATAAATGCTGCGANTTTCAATTCGGCTTCTTTGATTTTGGTGCTTAATATATTGATTTTTTTAATAAATGGCATGCTTGTTACAGGTATTTGAATAGCATTTATTTTTTTTATATGTTTCATAGATGCAGCATGCTTTTTAACTGCTCCCAATCCACCAATGCAATCTACTGAACATATTTTACAATGAAAGTAATTTTTACCTTTATGACTTCTTTTAATCCATTTTTTATATTCATTGTGATCTTCCCATTCAGATCTATATTTGTGCAAATATATCTTCCTTGTTTTCTTACTACTAGTCAAAGCTGATGATGTTTGTTCATCTTGTTCATTTTCTGTAAGATATTCATCATATTTATCTTCTTTGTCCATATCANTCTATTGGAAATAAAAATACAGCTATGTAAATATGCATACATATATACAGAAATAAATGCAGAAAATGTGTGTCACAATTTGCTTACAGTGATATTATCTTGGTTGAAATGTTTAGCAGTCCTTGAATTAAAAATATCAGAATAACTGACATACACACCTTCTTTCTATTTTAGCTGGAGGACTCTGCAAATAATAATTATATTAATATATAATATATTATTATATGTAATATCAATATATAATGTATTATTACANTATATGTATACAAAAAATTCAAATTAATAAGAAAAGCAGTTGATACAAAGTGCTTTTCAGCAACATACACAAGTGACACTGTGTAACACAGTGTATTATTGTGTTCCGCTGCTGAAAAGAACCAACAATATGTAATTTGTACGAATACATAGCAATAAATAACACTTAGTCATAAGCGAGCTTCACTACCTGATCTATAGTTGCATCTTTTTCTTCTTATGCACTGAGGAAGCAATCAAATTGACGCTACATGCAATATCATACCAGTTCCTGGCATGCAATAACTGGTAACACGTAGAGGGGATGCGCACAGAGCTACGTATCGTATACTTCCAGCTGTCTTGCGCTTCCCCTCCACGTGTTACCGAAAGTTACCGAAGCCAGGATCTGGTATCTATCTTGTTGCGAGCAAGAATTCAGAAATGAAAAAAACGGTGTTTATCATTGGTAAAGAATATGTTTTTTACTTATTTTAAAAATTCATCAAATAACAAAAATAATCACCAAATCACCAAAAGACATTAAAAATCCCCAATCTGATGAAAAATCACCAACAACGGCAACACTGCTTGTCATCACTATGTGGCGACACTTTTTTGCATAAGTCAAGGTTTATTTGTATGCGTTCAATTTGAGAAGAGAATTTTACTGCGCAGAAAAGCAGGCAAAGTAGCGTAGGAAAACCATTGCGTTTGGGATTGTTGCTGGAACACTTGACAGCCAAGGCTGTAGAATAAAGAAATTTTTTACTAAGTGCATGAAATTTTTGCTCATTTGATTTTTGTTCTCAAATTGAACGCAATATAGATGTGTATGGCTAATATTACATTTATCGTACGACAATGATTTTAAGTATGTTGATTGGTTATCAGATAGAGTTTTATAAAGAACTTTATTTGATAGCCAATCATTATACTTAAAATCGTTGTCGTACGACAAATGTAATATTAGCCTATAGGTACTTTTTCATACAGCAGCACGTTACGGCAGCAAAACGTTACGTGACTCAAATTTTCTAGGACTGCTTCCGCTAGGTATATTTGCTGCTCTTACCTAACTCTCATTTGATGCCATTCTTTGTTGTTGATGGAATTGTATAGTTATTGCATAAGTATCAACAACAACATTTTTCCGGTTTTGCTGCTTTTTGTTCGTTTGAACTTCGCAGATAATGGCATCGAGTGAAGGTTAGGTAAAAGCAAGAAATACTCAGTTAACAAGCTCATGTGATAATGACGTCAGTTTTTGGTCTGCCTAACGTCAATTATGACATAAAAATGACGTGATTTTCACGTACATATCACGTGATTATGTCACATCTTATTGACGTCATTATATTACGTCAAGTAGACGTGAATATAATCAAAAAAGTCTCACCAAAATGACGTGTTAAAGACGTTAGTAAATCATCAAAATGACGTATTAAAGACATTATTGTAAATTTTAAAGGAAAATAAAATACAACACATAAAAGACAATAGTATCAATATATTTAAAAAATCCTTATTACAAATGTTTGTACTGTTGTTTGTTGAAAACGCTGCTAAGCATATACATTATAATATAACATTGCACATTATATTTACGATGTATGTAAAAGAGGAAATGAAATATGATAATTATTAAATGGAAAAATAAAAAAGTCTTACAATAAACACTTGTTATTGACCAACATTCGAAATCACTAGCTATGTCATTTATTTTAAAAATATTCAAGTCACCTGAACCAAGTACATGCGCAACTCGTATCTCTAGAAAAAGTATTACTATCAAAATCTTCTTCTACAAGATCTATTCTACTGTTACGTCCTGGAGACTCCACGGTCCCCTTTTTCATGCGACGCGACGCGCCAACGCATAGCGAACCCCTTTTTTTTAATAATAAATAGTAATAAATAACTCCAACGGGTCTCCTATCGTTTGGAAACTCAAAACTCCAGACGATAGGAGAACAAACGAAAATTATATCGGCGCCGGGAAGATAAACTGGGCCCGGCAATAACCCAAAAATTTAGATAACTATTCGAACAGCTTTCCAAACAAACCCGGATATCTCCGGGTCATGAAAACGCCGGTCATAAAAATTAGAGCGACCGGCGCAAATAGAAACTCCGNCATTTTTATTATAAACAAACAGGGGTCTATGCGGCGTGATCGCAAAGACAACACTCTCCCTTTTTCCTTCCCCGAAAAATCGGACGAGGCGACCGAAGCGAGAGATCGTCGCCGATTGGCGATCTCGCAAGTCGCCCAACCGATAATTAACAAATAGGAACCAGCAAAGCTCAACTGGGTTCCCGATTGGAAGAGTCCTCGCTTACTAAAACAGTATATAAGCCAGGGCTCTCGGAATCGAGAACTCAGAAAGAATCGCGCCGCGCATCCGAAAAGAGCCGCAGATTCCAGCGAGCAAATAAGTGAAAAAGTGAGTGCCAGTGAATGCATAGAGCGAGATCCCAGGGCATCGACACCGCCGACCTGCCATTCAGAGCCGACCATAGTGCCGCACCGGCCTCGCTTAAGAATCAACACCACCGCAGCCAGCA